CCTTCAGACGAAGGCTTAGCTAGCTAGTGATTGTGCGCGTGACACGACGGGGTACCAAATGGCGGGGATGCTTGACCGGAGGCCTTCAGCTAAACAAGTCGACTTAAACAGTGTTGGTCAGCATCCAATGGTGAGCGATTGATGTGGTCAATAATTTTGGGGAATTATTTACCGCTACAATGCATTTTTCCTCATGCCGGTTTTTCATTTTATACCTTTTTGTGCATTTGGTGCACAACACTACCCTACAGAGTATAGGAATAGAATAAGTCGAATCTAATTCATAAAGAGCTATAAAATGTTAGGTTTAATGGGATATAATGAGGATCAAGTAAAGTCGTTATTAGAGAATGAATCTGATAAGACTTTGTGAAGTGGTATTCAAAGATCCGACAATGGAGAGCAAGTTAGTTTATAAGATGCCCCATAAATCCGTGCAGAGTCCACATGGTCGCATCTCAACAATAGGCTGAGCGAATGGTATATATTTAGAGGTAGAAGCATGATCTGTCTAGGCGTTCATTATTATCTTTTTCAAGATAAAGATCTAAGCCCTCATAAAAGTCAGAAATATCTCGAGCCGTCAAATTGCATATTGCTGTTCCTGCAGAATGGGGCGATCCACCTTAGTGACCTCCACGATATCTACTGATCAGCTAACGCCACCCTCCCTCCTTTTTTGATGTTAGGCTCTGAGACTATGATTATTATGGCTACCGCAAATATATTGCTTGGTACCAGACATGCTCGTACCTCATATACCATCTCCCTGGCTTTCTTAATGAGTGCTTCCAATAGGTCTCCACGTACATCTTTATGAACATATTATATACGTATGCATGCGTCCTAATGAACAGATTACTTTATGAGAAGTTAAAACCTTGAAGAATAAAAAGAATAGGTTTTGTGAATAGTGGAGCATGATTCAGCAGAACACCATAGTAAGGGTTCAATATGAGTTGAAGGTGGGTTCCTTCTGTCGATCTGCTGCTGTAGCAGGAAGGACGCTGACTTCGGCGCCTGTGTCGACTAAGTATCGAGTCTGGCTTATCACATCATGGATGTAAAGTAGGCGGCTAGTGCCACCGGCGACGGTTGCCGCTAACGCGTGCCGGCGGGATAGTTTCCCACAGACTTTGAGACATTTCCGAAGTTACAAGGCTTACGGCAACACTTCGCTTCTTGGCCATAGGTGTTGTGGTACCAGCACCAGTCAGGGTTTCTCAGAGAACGTGGTTTGGACTTAGATCGACCACGTGAGTTCCTGCGTTGAGGAGATTTAGGACGACGGTCGGAGGAGTTAGAAGGCATGTTTGACCTAAACATTTGTTGGATGGAGTTGCATAACTCTATCATTGCAGGATCCTTACTCGAAGTCTGCTTAGTCATCGAGTATATTTCGGGAACTGACCGTTTAGTTATTTCTAGAATCCTATCTGCAGTAATAGCTAAGTCCTCTATTACAGTACCCTGAAGTGTCACAAGTACGGTCTGTACAGACTGTGGCAGCTTGGTTAAGAAGAGTTCTCTAAATAGTCCTTCGTCGAACTGGCTTTGGCCAACAACTTCTCTCATTCTTGTCAGCATGTTCATGGCTGACTGATCTCCTAACTCGATGTTACGAAATAATTCGTCCAGACGTTGTCGGTCCGTGAGAACGTTTCTCCTGAGGAGGGATGCTTTGAGCAACTCGTACGAGTTACTTACCTCGGGACTGAACATCTGTGGTGTTACGTACTTGCTGAATTCCCGCGGTAGGGCGTGAATAACTGCAAGTAACTGTGAACGTTGATCGGTTATCCCATGCACACAAAAATCTGCTTCAGCTAGCTGAAACCACGTTTCAGCATTATCTGGCCAGTATGGTACAAGCTGAATGGTTTTAGGAGTTGAGCGGATACGAATGACCTTGGGACTAAGATCACTCATGACGAAAATTATGTCGAATAATATATAGTACAAGAACAAATACAAAATGGAACTAACTCACCGGGGTTATCTGCGGATATATCGTGGATGAAGTTCGTGGTTGGGCTCACCAGTTTGACGGAATTCGCTTACACAGCCTCCAAATTATTCTCGCGTACCAACAACAAAGGAAGAGCCAATATTTGATCGTCCAAACTAAGTAATATATTTCGGGACCAAAACAAGCCTTCAGACGAAGGCTTAGCTAGCTAGTGATTGTGCGCGTGACACGACGGGGTACCAAATGGCGGGGATGCTTGACCGGAGGCCTTCAGCTAAACAAGTCGACTTAAACAGTGTTGGTCAGCATCCAATGGTGAGCGATTGATGTGGTCAATAATTTTGGGGAATTATTTACCGCTACAATGCATTTTTCCTCATGCCGGTTTTTCATTTTATACCTTTTTGTGCATTTGGTGCACAACACTACCCTACAGAGTATAGGAATAGAATAAGTCGAATCTAATTCATAAAGAGCTATAAAATGTTAGGTTTAATGGGATATAATGAGGATCAAGTAAAGTCGTTATTAGAGAATGAATCTGATAAGACTTTGTGAAGTGGTATTCAAAGATCCGACAATGGAGAGCAAGTTAGTTTATAAGATGCCCCATAAATCCGTGCAGAGTCCACATGGTCGCATCTCAACAATAGGCTAAGCGAATGGTATATATTTAGAGGTAGAAGCATGATCTGTCTAGGCGTTCATTATTATCTTTTTCAAGATAAAGATCTAAGCCCTCATAAAAGTCAGAAATATCTCGAGCCGTCAAATTGCATATTGCTGTTCCTGCAGAATGGGGCGATTCACCTTAGTGACCTCCACGATATCTACTGATCAGCTAACGCCACCCTCCCTCCTTTTTGATGTTAGGCTCTGAGACTATGATTATTATGGCTACTGCAAATATATTGCTTGGTACCAGACATGCTCGTACCTCATATACCATCTCCCTGGCTTTCTTAATGAGTGCTTCCAATAGGTCTCCACGTACATCTTTATGAACATATTGTATACGTATGCATGCGTACTAATGAACAGATTACTTTATGAGAAGTTAAAACCTTGAAGAATAAAAAGAATAGGTTTTGTGAATAGTGGAGCATGATTCAGCAGAACACCATTGTAAGCGTTCAATATGAGTAGTATGAACTGTTGTTAGAGTCGGCTGTCAGGACTTAATTATCATATCAGTCTTATATATATTAAACTTTTGACATTGGAAGCTAAACTGTCTAGATATATATTATAATAGATATTAACAGAACTATGAAAATTTCAGCATTTTTTTAAATATAATACAGAAGGGTATTTAGTCCTTCAGGTAGCCGTAAAGTAAATCAGTCTATGTATAATAAGAGCATAATTAGTGTTATAATTGTTAATATCAAAGAATACATTAGACTCAATAACTGAGTGTTATAAGAGAAATAAGACTGGTAAACCAAGAGAACATTTGCTGCGTAAGTATTTTAATCATTTTAAGTATTTTAATGACAATCGAATTTCAAGTATTGAACCTGCATAATTACTAAGTATTATTATCTTAGTCTAGGAACTATTGTACTTTCTGTAGTTATATATTGAAATGCCATTGATTCACCACTCTACCAGCAGATGAAATCTTTTAGACTGTCTAGGATGGACATGTTAATATGATTTTCTAGGCTCCTTTTGAAACTGTCAGGCCTTTCACAGGATCTAATCTCACAGGGTAGTTGGTTCCAAAGTTTGCAATATTTAATGGTTAAGAAGTTAGCTCTAGTGGTGAGTTTATGGGTGTAAACCTTGAGAAGGTAGTTATGGTTGCGTAGTCCATACGATTTAGGATTAGCCCACGTTATGGGTGAGTTACTGTTACAGTGCTTTCTTATAACTTTGAATAAGAGAAATAAATTGCACTTCACTCTCCTTAACCATAAGGGTTCTAAGTCCAGTCGAATACATCTGTCAAGGTATTATATTTGCTGACCATAGCCTAATATGCGTTTCGTGAGGAATCTTTGGACACTTTCAACTTTTTTTCTGTCTGCTGATTTAAAGCTACTGTATAAGTGGGCACAGTATTCAAGTTTGGGGCGAATGCATATCTAATATATGGCCAATCTGGCTTCTGGAGTGTAAAAGTTGCGTAGCACAAAGCCGGTTACTAACAATATTCATATCATTATAGTCGAAATCATAGACAACTTTGAGGTCATCTGGAAAGAGGTATGGCTTGCCATAGTATATCTGTGGGCTATTTCTCATTCAAATGCCCGATTCTCATAAAATAACTGCTATGACAACAACCATTTCCTGAAGTCAATTTACAACCTTAAGATCTAAAAACCTCGCGAATAACAAAGCTTTAAGACTCTAAAACGCAAATAATAGTCTTTCTATGCAAAATTTCTCATAATGTATGACTTTTTTTTAGTAATAAATCACCTGGGATATCAAGACAATTTTACCCATTATTAGGAACACAATACACGAAAATATTGCTTTTTTCGGCTACAGAAGCCTAAAACTAGTCAAATATAATATATTTTCACAAAACTGAACCAATTTAACGCCTCTATAGGCGTAAACGCAACGACCCATACAGTGCGCAAAAATATATATCACGATAACGTTTATCCCCACCCTGAAAATAACAATGAAATAGTCGAAAAAGCTAAAAAGTTGTTTATTTAAACTACTTCTTCTGATAAGTGATCAAATTTTTTCTGAAGTCTTTGATCATGACTTCAGTGTTTGATGGCTTTGACCATTATTTCGTATGTTTTCTCCTAGATGTTCCCCATTTCTAACTGTTCACGATGTTGACATCTGAATATGTGGTAAATATGCGATATTGTCTAATTCAATATTTTATTTTGGATAAGACGAAATGCGCAACCTGGATTGCACTGCTAGTCATCATCCACCAATTAACTTTTAATTATATGCAAAACTGTGTTTATTAAATGGGGGTAATGATTTAATTGCCTGTTTTGAATAAAATATGAAAAAAACCTAAATTTTAACACAGCACCATAGACTAGTTCTGACAATTGACCGACTGTCGTCTTTTCCAAAAAGTTATACCACAAGAGTTGAATCCGGCATTATTTCTCCAAGGCTTGAGAATACTTGCGAAGCGGGTCTTTCGAGATTATGGCGCTACGAGTTGTGTTAGGTGAGTTAGTATTAGTTTTGTAGGACGTTAGTGTTTACCTAGCTAAGAATTAGTACATTTATCTTGATTACTGTAACTATAGTTATGGTTAAATTTTTCAGGGCTTTAATTGGGTTTGATACCTCCGTTAACGTTCACGTTGATTTTTTGCCGATCGGTGGTCATACATGTTGGTCATGAATTTGTCTTGTATAAAAGAATCTTTTTTGTTCTGGTAGATTTTGCGTTGTTGTGGATGGCAACTGTAATACTGCTTACGGAAATTATACTAGCATGGTTCGGATTCAGATTATAAAGATAGAAGCCTCTCGTTGCCTATTTTAATCCTTGAGATATATATCTCTACAGAAATCTAGTTTCTCTTTGAAAGTGTTCACTGATTCAGCTGTTACTTCTTAATCAGGTAAGGAGTTTTAGTCGTTGACCGCTTTGTGAGAGAGTCTAAATTCTACACATTATCTTACCTCGGTTTGAGCACCCTGTAGTGACCACATAAATATATCCTAGAGGGAGAGAAAAGGCTAGTCCCCAAATCATCATCTAGTATACCGTAGGTCAAAATTAAGTTACCTCTCCTCTTTCGGCATGGTAGTGGGAAATTTATATGCTCCATCCTCTTATCATAATGGAAGGTGTGAGATACCACTAACAAATCCGGTTCCTACCTTCTGTACTCATGACAAAATCCTCCATGCAATCAAAAAGCCAATACTTTAAAATTTTTTTTGGTTTGTTGTAATATCTCAGCATTTTTTTTCTAGTGATTTTTATGCTTTATCAAATCTAGAATCCTACTGTCTTACGCTTTTGGTATATTTTCACTTTGTGATGGCTGTTTTTTGCTATTTGCCGGTATGCTTTATAACTAGTAGGTGCGTCGGTGGCACAGTGGTTAGGACTCTCACCGACCATGCATATGGTCCGGGGTTCGAGCCCACGCCGGTGCACACCTGATATCTATCCCGGCCGATAACTGCTACCTTGTCGTGGTGGTCGGGCTTGAATACCGCAATGACCCAACAAGCTGAACTGACTGGGACCCTGTCTCCACAGGTCCTACCATGTCAGGAAGGTTTTCTGGATAGCGGTTAAACTAAAAGCAGTTACCATGGGGTACATGGGCTCCAGTTTCCAATCGGATCAAATGGCGTATGAACCCACATGGGTCACCGGCAACCATGGGAATGCAGCTCCTGACGCTGCTCCGCTGCCTTGCGGATTAGACTCCAAGTCAAAGGCTCGGGGGTGGTCCCTTAATAAAGCCACCTGCTTCGGTCTGGGCGCCCGGGCAGTATCTCAGCCCGCACACAATGAATGAATTAAAGCAACGAACTCCCATTGAAACTCAACGCGCTAGTTAAAATGATTCCAAGCAATATTGATCCCTCAAGGAACTTATTTCCTTCCTACCCTACTTTTATTTTTATACATAGTTTCCTGTATTGTACCTTTTCTAACCTTGGCTTCTTAACCTTCGACAGCCTTTCGCCTTTGTCGAGATTCCCAGCCTATCCGTGTCGTTTCGAGATGTTAGTGAGTAGTCCTCAAAATGGTTGTTCCCAATGTGACATCTAACACGGATATCCTGAAACCGCGTGCTGCGTTCAAGCTGGCTACCTACAATGTTCGGACGCTGATGCAAATCGGACAACAGGCAGGGTTGGCAAGAACTTTGGAAAGCCTCGCTATCGATGTCTGCTGCATTTCGGAGACCCGCATTCAAGATCCCAGTGAAGTGCTTCGACTATCCTCTCCATCTGGAAGTTCTAGTAGTATGTACCACCTGCGCTTATCCGGGGACCCTGTGGCGTCGGCATCCGGCGTAGCTGGTGTCGGTGTCGCACTGAGCGCTAGAGCCGAAGCTGCACTGCTCGACTGGATTCCCATTAACAGTCGTTTATGTGCTGTGAGGCTGGAAGGTTATACGAAAGTAAAGAGTAGTAGGCCAGATAGGCGGTGTCTATTTGTTGTCTCTGCCTATGCACCGACGGATTGCAGCCCGGATGCAATGAAGGATGAGTTTTACTACCAACTGAGCGATCTCTTGAAACAGGCGGGTCGGAGGGATATCGTAGTGCTGGCTGGGGACTTGAATGCACAGGTGGGGCGTCTAAGCTCAGAGGAGAATCGTCTAGGTGGTCAGTGGGGACTACATGGTCGCAGGTCAGATAATGGGGACCGTCTTCTGCAGCTTTGCGCGGATCACAACCTATTTCTAGCTAGCACCAACTTCCGGCACAGCCATCGCCGTAGCGCTACCTGGCGTCCTCCCTCTGCGAAGCAAGCTTGGACTCAGATTGATCATATCGCGGTCAGTTTCCGGTGGCGGGGATGCATACAAGACTGTCGCTCCTTCTGGAGCACATGCCTGGACTCCGATCATGCGTTAGTGTGTGCCAAGTTCGTCTTGCGATTTGGTGGGGTTCGTAAAAGCCGTCGTCTAAGCGTTGATGTGAGCAAACTAGTAGCACCTGCTACTTCTTTGAAATATCAGAATGAGTTAAAAACAATGCTTGCCAGCAACCCCCCAAGTAGTATAGATGAACATTGGCTTCATGTGCAAGGTGCCATGCAAAAGGCGAGTGTAGCCGCTTGCGGCTTGAAAGAATGCTCCGCTAACAACCACTGGGTTTCTGCGAGTTCCTTGCAACTCATGGATGAACGCCGGTCCATTCCGGCTGGCAGCGAATACAACAATCAGCGAAAGGCGCTCACGCGCAAGATTAGACAGTGTTTACGTAAGGACCGCGAAGCCTGGTGGTCAGAACGTGCGTGTGAGATGGAGTCAGCTGCTGCATCTGGCAACAGTCGGAAGCTGTTCCAACTCATACGAGCCACCGGCAGCAAGAAACAAGGTGTCAGCGAGACGGTCTGTGAGGCAGATGGCACTCCAATTACCAGCCTGAAAAGACGCCTGGAACGCTGGGCAGAGCACTTCGGGAAGCAGTTCAGCTGGCCACCAGCTTCAGTGTCTACTATCATTAGCCCGAGTGCTCCTTGGTCGGTTAGTACCGACCCACCCACCGAAGCGGAGGTCCGTAAGGAACTCCAAGTTCTGAAACGCCATAAGGCGCCCGGCCCAGACAAATTACCCCCGGCTCTTTTTAAAGATGGTGGCGAGACTCTCACAATGGCTCTAACTGGGTTGTTCAGGAAGGTGTGGGAGACAGAGAGTGTACCATCAATGTGGAACGAAGCCATTATCGTCCCCATCTTTAAAAAGGGTCGACGTAATTCGTGTGACAATCATAGGGGTATCAGTCTGTTACCAGTCGCGTCTAAAATATTGGCTGCTGTCTTGCTTCGCAGACTGTGCAAAATACGTGAAGGATTGATTCGCGAAGAGCAGGCTGGGTTTCGTTCAGGTCGTGGATGCATTGATCAGGTGTTCACCCTTCGTCAGTTGTTGGAACACCGCCACACGTATTGCAGGCCAACGATCGTTGTGTTTCTTGATATTAGGGCTGCCTTCGATTCGTTGGACAGAACTGTGCTCTGGAACTGTCTGTTAGAGAGAGGTGTACCTGAGAAATTTGTTAACATCCTGAAAGCCCTATACAGAAACACCTCAGGTAGAGTGAGGGCATACAACCAACTATCACCACTGTTCCCAACCAACAGTGGGGTTAGACAGGGTTGCCCAATCTCTCCATTTCTCTTTAACTTTGCCATCGATGACATTCTGGAGTCAGCTCTGAAGGATGTGCGTGAAGGTGGTGTAGATCTGCTACCTGGAGATAGACTTTTCGACCTCGAGTATGCAGACGATATCGTCTTACTGTGCGATAGCATGCAGGCTGCCCAAATCGCACTTAATCAGTTGGCGATCAGTGTCTGTAAGTATGGTATGTGCTTTGCGCCGTCTAAGTGCAAAGTACTGTTACAAGATTGGCAGGAGCCTGTACCTGCACTCACTCTTGCGGGTGAACCGCTTGAAGTTGTTGATAAGTTTGTGTACCTGGGTAGTTGTGTGAGTGCTGGCGGAGGGGTGACGGATGAGATTTCCAACCGTATAATGAAGGCTAGGGTGGCATACATCAACTTGAGCCACCTCTGGCGCCGTCGCGACGTTAGCCTGGCTGTCAAAGGTCGGGTATACAATGCTTCGGTGCGAGCTGTCCTGCTCTACGCCTGTGAAACCTGGCCTCTCCGAGCTGAGGATGTGCGGCGACTCTGCGTGTTCGATCACCGCTGTCTCCGCAGGATTGCTTGCGTTCGATGGCATCATCGCGTGAGTAATTCTGAGGTTCGGCGGCGTGTGTTTGAACAAAGTGGAGATCACTATTCATTGAATGTCGTCATCTGGAAACACCGGCTCCGGTGGCTTGGACATGTGCTCCGAATGTCACCCCAGAGGCTTCCGTACAGGTCTCTGTTCGCTAGCCCTGGGACGGGATGGAAAAGGCGGAGAGGTGGTCAGTCCATGACGTGGCGTCGTGGGATGAAGGATTTTTGTGCTAGATTAGCATCGGTTGGTGTGTCACGACTCCCTGGTTGGGGTCCGAGAGATAGCTCAAATCGATGGCTCGAAACGTTATCGGATATGGCCAAGAATCGTAATCAGTGGCGAATGTGTTGTGATTTCCTTCTTTCTTCCCTTCCCGATGATAGCTAACGAACACTGTTTGAACTTGTTAAGCATGACTGTTTTCCTTCCAGATGAAGTTCTTTATCCGTTCTCTACTTATATATATTTTTTCTTTTCCTTCCTTCCTTTTTTTGATCTATGTTGTTTTATTATTATTGTGTGGCGCATCTTTCTTGGTGCCATATTGTACCAAGTTTTTTATGCGTTTAAATAAATAAATAAATAAAGTCGAAAACTTGTGTAGAAAATTCTGACTCAAATGGGAAATTATAAAACTTTACTGCTGGAATACAAATTATGGCAGTTCATTATAGTCAGTAATAAGATTGGGTGTTATAGTATTAGAGGGTCAATCGATTAAGATAGCTGATAAATGTGATACTCTAACACTTTCCTTGAACACCAGCCTCGG